GTTCCGACACTTTGTCTGATTGCTCCTTTTTGCTTGGCATGTCCCACACGCTCTGGATTGACTACAGAGAGTTGTTGGCAACATGTTCCGACATTTTGTTTGATGACTTTGTTGGCTTTACATAGCAGCTTTAAGTACATTCATGATGCGAAATCAGTTTATTTGCTTGCCGCAAGGATAACACAACAAGACATGCTACACCTCTTCCGAAAACAGCAGTGTAGAGTAGACTTGTCTAAGAGTAGTGGGCTGAGCTTTTGGCATGCTATGATTTTTGGCCTGCCATGATGACAAGACCTAATCCCAGCTCTCCGATGGTCAATCGACCATGAGGAGGAAACATGTTCCGACACTTTGTCTGATGGCCTTCATGGCCTCATTCTGCCTGGCATGGCATGTCGATTAAGTTCCCCTGGTCTCTGGTTTGACTACGGACGTTGTTGGTGATGAAAGCTCACGCTTCAGATTGATCATGTGTGCCATGTGAGCCACCTGCAATACTAAGTTGATCTAAGTTGTAAAGTTTGAGAGATAGGATGGGTACCATGACCATCCAATGGATGTTCGATGGACTGCCCTACACCAGTTAGGGATCTCCGACACTCAGGGTATTGATGGTCTAGGTATGGCTTGGGTCGGATGAGTATTGGGTCTGGATGTCTTGGACTCCGGAACATCCCTCCGGAGATTCCACACCAACTCTGAGCCTCTGACGTCCGGATGTGGGGCAAACGTCCGTCCGAACGGCTTCTTTCTTTTCGAGACATGTAACTACTTCTTCTTAGTCGTCTGACATGGCTGAATTCGGTGGGGAAGCTCTACCTCTAGGATTTGAGGCCCTTGCATACAGGTTGCCACGTACCTCGTTTGTCGTACCAGCACCTCCGGGTGGAGGTACTTGGCCACGTCGAGTGTCGCCGAGGGAGGCCACCGGAGAGGGTGTCGGTACTTGGCACGGATGGTGGGAGCTTACTGGGAAGATGTGCTGTTTCTTGCTTTCGTGTCTGGGGAATGAATTTACGGTTTGTTCGTTTTGCACTGGTTTTACTCGAGACTTCCTGTTAGCCTGTTAGCCAATCCTTGCGCAGAGTGTTTCACCTTCCTGCTCGCAGGCAAAGGTTCCGGAATGCCTGGCGCTTCCTCAGGTGGACCGGGGTGGAGCGGCTGGGACGGCTGGGAAGGAACGATGATCGTGGAGGATCATGTACCCTAGGGCACCAAGTACTTCAGAAGGTGGGACCGGGGTGGGTGCCAGTGTCGGGTCCAATCATACCGTACCGCATACCATGGTACGACTGGAGGTCTAGGGGGATGCACCTTGGAGATCAAACTAGTCTTAATCTTCAAACATCGTCTTTAGGTGACCCAAAAGGGAAGAGGCGCCAAAAATATATCTTTGGAGAGATCTTTGGATTAGGAACACGCAGCAGGTGTGATTCAGCGGCTTTGACTTGATGCGATGTTCGGTGATGTGGCAAAGCCGATTCGGACGGGCGATGTTCTGCCCAAACCAAAAGCCCAGCCAGTCGGTTAGGAACCTTTAACTTTTTTGGAGCATGATAGAGAAGGGGACTACACCATTTTGTTGTGGACCTTTTTGGGGACCTCCATGTGTGGCAAGAGGTTGGGCCTCCCGACTTCAAGGAGAGCGAAAGGGATTCCGGAGGTGGTCTGACAGGACTTCGAACCCACCGGATCCCTGAAATCCCTCGATGGATCGGCGAGAGCACCCCGATGGGTCCTCCGGTTGGTTCCGAAGAGGCGGGGGGGGTGCAGGTGGTGAACTCACTGTACTGATGAAATCAGGGTGCGGTGAGATGCAATCATCATGGAATGCCCTTTCCAAAGACCCTGGAAATCAATACCTGGGACATTGAATACGTCTATAATACTATGGAAACAGATACTGTACCAGGATGTACCAGGAGCATCCTGGACCGGGGTGTCCTGGCATGTTCGATCCCGGATAGCAGGATCTCCAGCCAGGACACCCCGGTCCAGGATGGTCCAGGTAGATGAGGATATGATGCAGTAGTATGTCCAGGCACCTGGGAACGTTTCCAGGCACCTGGGACCGGCACCCGGAGCTGCGCCTTTCTGACTGTGTGCCATTCCACCGGTGAGTCGGTGATGGTTTCTCACGGAGGAACATCTAGAGATGTCATGTGGGACATGGTGATTCAGGGCTCAATCTACGAGGCTTCAACTCGCTTCGGTTTTTGGGCATCGTGTGTTGGGCTATAGATCCATGTTGACCACCAATGTCAGAGCCAGACAACTACAATGTTATATAAGCCAACACAACCAGATCCCCTTGTCACATGTCCAACCGCAACAGCAACAGGTCCGGAACCCACGGTCCGAAACGGCGTTTATCAACGGCGCGAGCTCCTTGACCGAGTCCCGAACCGTCGATCGACCCAGCGAGGTGACAAGAAGCGCGAGAAGTCAGGTGGGTTTGGCGTGGTGTTTGTGGTGTTTGGGGCGTGGTGTTTGGGGCGGGCGTTTGGGGCGGGGGGCCGTGGAGGGAGGAATCACCGGTTGGGGGAGTTGGGCGTGTTCTCTTTGGAAGGGAAGGCTAAACTGTTCAGAGTTCCGAGAGACCATGGAGAGAAACATGGAGAAACCAGGTTAGTTAAGAGTAAAATTATGGAGTCAACCTGGTCACGATTTGCTCTGTTCTAAGCCGCCCACCGATGTGCTTGGCCAGCGATGCCATGAGTCAACCGTGGGCGCTCAACCGGCGAAGAGGCTGTTTTTGATCGAAATGAGACTTTGTACGGGTCTACAGACGGTGCCGAGATTGGGTGATAAACAGAGTTAATCAGATGAGTCAGATTGCTTGTGCTGTGTGGGCGCTTCTGTCTTGTGTTGATATGTTTTTGATATGAAGATGTAGAGTCATTGAAAAAAAGATTCCATCAACTCAACCAGTTACCAGAATCAACCCTTGAAGCTAACTTAAAGGGGGTCAACATATATTAAACTATTCCAAGCTAGGGTCTTTGACAAGTGGGGAGCACTGGATACCATCCCCTATCAGTTGAGAGGTGGCTCTCACTGTTCGGAAGCATTCCTGTTTGGACCCTCAAAGTTCAACCATTGGGTTTTCCCCTTTGTTTTGCCAAAGAACTCCCCGGTACAATGAGTCCCTCAAGGTCCAAGTACCTTCTCCCAAGGTCCAAGTCTCCAGTGTCTCCTTCTTCACCGTACCTGAGAAGGTAGGACTTGGATCCCTATAGGGTTGATGGAAGGGGTGCGTCTAAAAAAGGAACAAGAAGAACCAACAACTCGCGTCTCGCTGCGTGGACCCCTTCGAGACCTCCCCGGTCCGTTCGAGACACCCCATCATTGTGTCGACACACGAGAGACAGCCTTCAGCAGACTCTCGGCAGGACGCCATGAACGGTAGAGATCCCCTGAAACAACCCGACTCACAGCTTTTGGTGGCTCCAGACTGGGCAGGGGGGGGCGGGGTTCTCTTGGGCCATTCCTGTGCACCAAAATCGTGACGTGTTTGTTTCGATTCGAAGCACGTTGGAACACCTTCCTGTCCCAAGCACGAGGACTGGACCGCACGTTTGTTTGCAACCGCGAAACCGTGCCGGAAAGGGCTCGGCTACGAGCCCTTCTTCCCGGCCACGGCAGGGGGTGGGCGACGGTTTTTGGGAGGTGAGCAGGTGGTTTTGGCGTGAAACAGTGGGTTGAAAGAAGGGTGAAGATGGGCCTCCGAGCTGCTGTTTTGTGTGTATGTTGTTTTTTGGGGGTGGTTGTTTGAGGATGTTTTGTAGATGTTTGTTGCTTTGTAGATTTGGGCATTGCTTCTGATCTCATATATTGTACCAAGTTTTTTTATCCTGAGCGACCAAACCCACAGAAGACCGGTTTCCGCCTAGACCAGACTGGAGGCATCACACCCAGAAGACCCTCGGGCTCCCTGGACCTCGAAGTCTTCCTTGAAGATTGGATGCTCAAAACAAGGAGTATCTATGAGGGTTCCATCCGCTGCCGCATGCTGCGGCTTCCGCCACGCCCCCGAACATGAAATGGAGAACTCATTGACCACACCGCCTCAACGTATCAAATGCGCACATACTAAGGGTTTGGGCTGGTTGTGGGGGTGGGGCTTCGACCGCCAAACCGCCAAACCCACGTTTGGACAACCGCCAAAGCTGTGCCAACGACTCCAGAAACCCACCGGTGAAACCTCCAGTTTCTGGCCGAACCCGTTCCTCAAGCTGTGCCACACCAAAGGGTCTCAAAGCCTATAGGTCTTTTGAGGAGTTGACATCTTTGGACCATGTGCAATAGTATCATTAATACTTACACCAGATCCTGCCCTGCCCACAGCAGAATTGCAATACCTCCGGTATCCTCGGGATTTCTTGGAAGTTTTCGGGTTTCCAATCGCCTCCTTTCTAAAGCTTTCGGCAGGGTATTTGTATTGTTCAAAAACATGTAATTCAGGGGCTGTGTCGTGTTGAAGATCTACAACGAGCGGATGAGCATCCCGACACTTTCCTTCATGCATCCCGGAAAACCGCGATGAGCTGCCTCAAGTACTTCTGAATCGACGCCTTGCACCAGTGGGAAGGGCCCACCCAGCCCATTCCAAAACCACGTTGGACACCGATAGATGCAGGACTAACCCCAAAATACGTGCGGCATTTTGGACAATAAGTAAGCTGGCCACTGAGTGGTTGAGAGAAGGTTTCAATGTTCTCACATGTTCTCACATGTTCTCACTTCAGCTGGCGAAGTATCGCAGGTCCTGGAGGCTCAGAAGTATTCGCCACACTTTCTAGTGAGTTGGGAGTCTCAAGGCATGCAGTCTTTTTTGCTTTCGGGGGGGAGGGCAGGAGTTGTTCATCAGCTTTGTTTTCGCAGCAATTGGGGGGAAGAACCAGTTTCCTTATTTTTTGATTCGCTGTTTTGGGAGGAGACCGCCCCAGGAAGGCCTCGCGTTGTAGTCTACTCCGTGTCTCCAAAAGAAAGAGAGAGAGAGAGAGAGAGTGAGAGAGTGAGCTTGACCTGGCGTTGTAGTGTAAGATCCTTAGTCCAACAATGTGGTTGTTTGGTAAAACCCAATAAGTTATTAAATCAATGGTGGGCCACGATAACTCGAAAAAAGGGACTCCTTGGAGCCTCTGGGAGTTGTTTACCCTCCAAAAGGTTTTTTGGCCATGAAAAACCGAAGATTGCAGAATCAAGGACTCTGCCAGACTTCGCACCGAAACAACTGGTTCTACCACCCCCGCCCACCCGCCCGCCCCCAAAACCGCGGAGAACTCACCACACTGCGCACCACGAGCGGCGGCTTCCATCTCGTAGCGCCCGATGCCAAGGCTGCCGTGCTCGGCATCTGCGAGGAGCTGCGGCCGAGCAGCTGCTGGAGCTGGTGCCCCGGCAGCCGCAGGAGCGGGGTGGAAGCCACCGCATCGGCGATGACGAGGGTGGTACAAGGTGTTTGGGTTTTGGGGAGCCGGGAATTGTAAGTCAACGAAGAAAGTGAGGAAAGGAAGTGGTTAGCAAGCTTTTGTTCTCGCTGGTTTAGCAAATCGGGTGGAGATGGACATGCACTCACGCCAGGGTCAACTCACCATGATGCATTCCTTTGAGAACCAAAATGCAATTTGACCAGAAATTTTGGTGACTCTCAAGTCTGGCGTTGAAAAGCGGAAGAACACCGAGGATCCAACGCTTTGAAGTCAGGAGGGCACCCCACGCACCCTGTTTTGTGCCGTGGTTTGAGGTTAGTTGAATCACGACTGGGTTGAGGTTCAGCGGTCACTGGTTGTCTAAAAAGGTGGGTTCTCCAACAGGATGGTCTTGTTGAATGTCATATTCAGAAAGAATACTGGTTCCAAATAGAATCACATAATATCAAAGATGATAATAGAAACGGTTTCCAATGCGTTCTTAGTGGGGATCTACTTTTCTATAGGCGGTCTATATAATCGCGGGGTAGGGCCTTCTCTGCTGATGATTCCTGGTGCCAAATGAGTAAGTTGACCCTCCTCCATTGCCAATTGTGACCATCCCTGTCATATTACCTGTACCACTGAGCACAGTCATGTCTGGACTACCTTTGGTCTCATGATCACCAGAAATGAGGAGACTCGCCAAGCAACAGAAATCTATTCAATTCCAGCTTACTGTTGCTGAATTACTTGGGCAGATGGATTCTGATCAGATTCTACCAGGACCCTCCGACAGGTCACCAATAGAGACCTGTTAGGGTCCAACAACCCTCAACTCACAGCCTGTTGGAGGGTGCTGGTAGGCGTTGTTAGTTTCTGATGAGACGTCTTTCCCATCGTCTTCTTCACTTCGTGGATGTCGGATGAGGTTCATCTACCTTTGCTGACGGAGAGTTTCGTCCACACCTCGCAAGTGTCCAGCACTCATTGATGTGCCCACATCCTTCTGCAACAGTATTCTTGATTCTCGTCTCAGAGAGCCCCAAGAGTTGATGTGCCATGCGCCATGACCATTCAGAAGGACGAGAGCCGGAAGGATAGGAGAGCTACACGGCTACACTCTGAAGAACTCTGACATAGAAACTGGAATTGACCATCCCTGGAACAGAACATCTACAATCCTGCCTCATCTTCCATCCCAACTGGCAGGCTTCATCCATGTGTTCAAACAAAAGGTTAAGATGTTCCACACGGTTCCACACGCCATCCTTGACATCCTAACGCCATCCTAACGCCATCCTAACGCCATTCTCAATGTTGGACCACACGCCATCCTCGCCATCTCGCCAGGAGAATCCCAGAGGCAAGGCCAAGGCGCGTTCTGACCTGCGCCTCCCGTCTCCAACGGGTCGTTCACAGCAGGTTGGTCAGGTTAGTAAAGTTTGGATTTCTGACCAGGTCAGATTCTTAAGCTTCCTGAGCGGGATCGCTGACTTCCTCGCTTCTAGTCCTCCAGTCAAACCGCCCAGAGAGTCCAGGGGACTGGAGTATTTGCCGAACTCAGTTGGGGTGGTTTTAAGATGTTTTAAGATGCAACATATTCCATCCAAGGATTGTTGAGGAATCCCTAATTAGACCTCCTGGCCTATCTACGTTTCGGTTCGGTGGGCCAGGGCTGGGTGCCAGGGGGTCTAACAACCGAACCTGAGGATATGGGTTGGAACCCTAGGGGAATAGGCCATATAGTAGTTGGAACCCTAGGGGAATATGAGTTGGAACCGAACCTGAGGATTTGGGTCTAACAACTCTTCGATCTCCACTCATTGGACATCCCTCCAGATTGCCCGCTGGTTTTCGCTCCGATGGGTCGGATTCGCGCGCAGAGAGGTTCGACCCAAACCATTTCGCACCGAGGCAAACGGTCGGATGACGGGCAGTGACATGGGCAGTGACTTTGCCTATCACCTCACAGTTGTCAACTAAGAGCTCTGTGCTGTCAGGGAGGTGACCCCCTTGGAATTCACCCAGACCCGCTCCGTTCACAGCCCTCCTGGTCCCTCCAAACCGGGATTGGTCCAGGGTCCAGACCCCTCCAGAGGATTCGGCTTGGGCGCCCAGCTGCGATCCGATCCGCGGCGCTCCGATCGCAGGCCGAAAGCAAGCGGAGGCGCGGATCGCCCGCGAACGGCGGGGTGGAGGTCGAACGTCTCGCGTTCGCGTGGTCCTGCCCAGGAGTCTGGGTGGATCGCCTGCAACACCCTTTTTTTCCGAGGATCAGTTTCCCCAACTAAACAAGAACAGGTGGAGAAAAGGTTCACCTTGATGTTCCAGGGAAAGTGAGGGAGTCAGATGGAGATGAGGTCATTTGAATTGCAGGGTGCTTCACATGGTCTGAAGAAGATCCGGCCCAATTGAGTCACGATTTGGATCGTGGAGATGGAGATGTGGGTGACAAAGAACATCAGAGAAACCAAAGACCATTATTGGTTGCGGGGTTCCTCCATGTTGGCAGAATGTTGCAGAAGACGATTGAACAGGGCGATATCTCTTGCACGTTTCTTTGGGGAAGGCCAACCGTTCAAGGCTTTGTCAAGTCATCCCACCTTTTTGGTTGCTAGTCGCACTTCCTTTCTTAGCCTCCAGCAATTTGTTGTAGGTAAAGCACTTCTTGAATTTGTTGACGAGGGAAATCATAGGATTTGTCCAAAAAACTTGCTGCATGCCAGGGTCTTTGGAACATCAGATTGGACACTCAAAGACAGGAAGTTTCCCACCAGTGTGTTGGATATCTGTGGAAAGCCTGGAGCAACCCTCTCGGCTACTTCCTGGTCTCCTTCCTGGGCTCCTCCTCCCCATCCGATGACAAGCATCAACAAGGAGGTTCCCCAAAAACCGCTCGGAGCAGCACTGTATTTTCGGACTTCCTGGTAGGATGGCCAAGGCGGACTGAACAAAACTGTACGCACTTCATCCCAGTTCTACTATGATGATCAAATCTGTACCTGGACCGCACAGCGGGTATTCAAGTAATTATTCTAGTCTGAAACTTTATGTCTGCAAATCAAAAAGAACTGTTGGAGGATTGGAGGGTGCTTTGAGCCTACAAACATCTACAGGTTCGTGTTTTCTCGCATCACCGAAATCACTTGGCTTGTATACCCCAGACACTCCATGTATGTTATCATATACGCCGCCCCATTGACCCCCCTCGCACCCCTGGCCGTTTCTCGGCAGTCCGTCCTGGCAGTCCCATGGAGTCTCTGCGTATCTCCCGTCCGATCGACTGCGCTCCGTTTGGGACACCGGGACATCGATCGGTCGACAGCCCCAGGGAGAAGGCTGCAGCCCGTGGTCCGGTGCCCTTCGAGCCCTCCGAGCCGAAGGCGCCGCCGGTCATCGGATCGCCCCGGTCGACCGACAGGGACACGTGATGACCACGGACTGCGGTGGAAGAGGTGTTGCGAGGTTTCTTGATTAAAAAACCAAGGCCATATAGTGTATGTGTTGACAGTTCAATCATTTTTTGGTCCAGGATGCTTTTGGGACACGTTTTGGGGGGCTCTGTTTGGCACCAATGTGTTGGAACAGACCTCTCTGCTGGATTAGTTCTACCTATAGAGACCAACTGTGTTTGACAGGTCTTTCCTCTGCTGAACTCACCAAACCAGCAACATGTTTGACACCATCCATAATTTTCGGGATGGTTCTTCTCAACAGCCAGATGAAAAAGCATTGGTGATGCTTGTTTTGGGGGTCTGTATAGTCTCACTCGGACCTTCTGAGAATGGGACTCTCCAGGCCGGAGATCCAATAGGTGCAGGTCCAGGAATGCTTCCTATTGTGGTTTGATTCTTTTTAAGGATTTTAAGGATTGAAAAGATGACCACATCTGCACCAGGCAACACATGCGTGATTTGTTTTCAGTCGGGACGTCGGGTGTGAGGAGTATTGGTTCGTGCAAAAGGCACCGTTCGATCCACCAGGAATCCCGCCCCTCGGGCCAAGCCCCTTTGGGTGGAGTTGGGCCGAGCCTTTCGCGTGGTTGAAGCCGTGGGGAGTGGAATTCCCCTTCTCAGACTTCTCAGACCTCGGAGAGGTGCAAACGGGTCCGCATGTGGATTGGTATCCCCAATCGATTCTGCCGGAGAGGAAGCCTGAGAGCCGCCCCCTGTATATTCACTCAGCGTAGAGTTCGGCAGATCCAGCCAACTCGCGATTAAGATCGATTAAGCTTCGTCATGTGTGTGGCCCAATGCCCTAATGCATCACCTGGCTATACATCGTGGCTGCCACCTCACGAGACCAGTTGGGCACCCTGTGCAGAGGATCGTGGCTACCTCGTGGCAAGCATGTTTCGTTCGGATGCGATTCGACAGGGTGGGGCTCTTCTCATGTCGCCCACTCACTTCGGGTGCTGGAACAGGTGTCTTCCAGCCGCCCAAGAACCGATCAGCGTAGAAGAACCACCCGAAAGAAGCGGCATGTCCTGCTCCGCGAGCTCTGCGCTCTGCTGTCCTTGACACTGTTCTATACTGTTCTGCTGCCCAGGGTCTGCTTCCAAACAGCCCAAACAGCCCTTGGTCCACACCCCTCCAAGGGATTCGGCTCCAGGGTCGTGTCTAGTCTAGACATGGTCGCTCGACTTCCGGCAGGAAAATGCCCCAAAGTCAGGACCCGGGGTGGGGGGGGGGGGTTGGTCCTCGCATGGTGGAGGGAGGCGACTCCTCGGTGTTCCCGAAACCGACCAGGAGGTGGCCGTGGTGTTGGGACAGGACCAGGAGTGGTGAGCAAAGATGTCTGCGATGGACGGCACACATGCGGTGTAAAGTATATTAACATGTGTTGAATCGGCTTTCCAGGTCGCACCGCAAAGAGTCCCCATGTTTTTCCTTTTTTTGGGGTGGGTATATGTTCAATCACCAGAACTCGAAACTGCAGCGTTCGGCGAACCTAGTGGGCGAACCTGCATTCTGATCCTTCGGTGGTCCCAAACTTGCACCTCGGTGCAGGATTTACACCGTCAGAGGGGTGGAGGGCTGGGAGCGCCCATACCATGGGTTAACGGCCCGGACATCCTGGGTCGGACTTGGGGTTTCTCGGCGGATTGGTCCACTTCTGCGAAGCGCTTCGCTGCCTGGAGCGAGATGTTTCATGGCGTCCTCTTGGTATCGGACGGCACCCCCCCATGCGTTCGGCCCCGCCACGCGACTGGTGGAAGCAGCCTGTTCTGGCAGCTCTGCTGAAGCGCCAGACACGACCCATGGGACCGGACAAGTCCGCCCATTGACTCGACCCCCATTTCAACCACCCCGTTTAGATCCGTTTAGTAGGCAAGTATGCCAGTCGCATCTGAGTGGTTTGGGTCTTGTGACGTTTTTGGGCCAAAGACGATGGACCGTCGGGTCTTTACGACCGGGTTCAGAGCCGGTCATGTGGCGTGAAACGCAGCGACGAGATATTATGGCAAAGGTTGAGTAGGCCGTAATATTGCTACACCAGACCCACGACGTGTAAGATTTGGCCACCAAAGTGCTAACATTGGAGGCTACACCCAGCTTATCAGGAGACCATCAGACCAGGAGGCCATCAGACCCACGACGTGGCCACCAAGATATATCAAAAATTGCTACACCCAGCTGGGTTTTTTGGAATGGAGGAACGTCCTTCGCTGTTGTGCCGAGAGAGACTCCCCTCTCAGGAGCGGCCAAAGCTGCCGACCTTCGTCCAGAGGTCCAGTCCGTGCACAGGGTCGGGGGGAGCGGCAGACAGACGCGGGTTTTCCCATCTACATGGGGTCTACATGGGGTCTACAGAGGCTAAGACGTACTCGGTGTGAAATGGATCGATGTTTGTGGTCCTTTTTGGTGGCCCACAAGACTCAAAGACTACATGACAAATTGTACCAGGACCTTCCAACAGGTCAGCAGAGATTTCTTAGGGCCCTTCCCAACCCTCCATTTCGGAGACCTGTAGAGTCGGGTGCTGGTATATGGGCCTTTTATAGGGAGACCTGCTGGTCCTAATGAGACTGGTCTGAAAACGGGGCCGGAACGCCTGGGAGGTCTCCCTACTGGCCAGGCACACGCATGGGTGTGAGAGTAGGGTGTGTTCCAGTAAACCAGAATAGCTCTGAGACAGGCCTGCCACCTAACCATGATCATCACTGGCCTGGGCCCTGGTAATACACCCAAGTGACAGGCATGTTCCTATTTGGAAATCCTGCAATTTCGGTTGTTCAACATTGTTCAACACAAGTGGAAAAGGGTCCTATTATAAGGGCTTATAAGAGTATACGTTATGCAGATGGTATGATTGGTATGGGCCTTGCCAGGAACACCCTACAAATTACTCCGTCTTTTGAGGCATCAGATCACCAAACCAAGCACTGCAGCGGCACTTTTCGTCACCGGAAGCACTGCAGGGTTGGAGCCGAATCCGGCGCTCGCAACAGCATGGTTGGGTGGCTCTACACCCCAACAACTTGGTTTGGAGACCCCGCAAAGAAGTAGGATTCCCGTTGAGAACCCTTGGTGGGATTGTGGCACAGAACTGTGCAGAAGTCACCTTGGCCAACAAACCCGTCACAGATTTAATTTCAAGCATTTGACACCACGTGCATCTAATGGCAATCACCGCGAATTACCAAGTGGCCCCGCCCTTTCTACATAGAAGACAAACAGGAGACAAATTGAAGTATACAGGTCTCAAGATGTCTACAGACCCATCTTCACCAAGGACCCTTATATACCCAAGGACCATGATAGTACATGGACCCAAGGACAGGGTCCGAGCTTGTTCTCACGACCCACCTGTCTCTCGCGGTCTTCGAACCGACCGGCTCCCGATCTCCGAAGCCTCCGGGTCCCGTCGAGGATCGGTGGCTCGTCGGTGATGGGTCTCCCACTGGGACGGACGCGGCCCAGTGACACCAGGTGTTCGTGAATGTTTCTCTTTTTTTTCAGAGGTGGATCCGCTGGGTTTCATGGGAGGCTCCACTTATATCAACACGAAACAGTGCCAAGACAAGGATCACTTGGAAGGAAGACCTACAGGATGAACAGCTGTTGCTGTATATGTGCATCCTCAACATCTTCAGGTCCAATGAAACGTCTCCAAAATGATGAGCTCATGTCAACGCTGGTTGATCCAGTATTTTGGGTGGGTTGTCTTCATTTTTTCACACACTCTTTATAGAAGCTTCCGCCTGTTTGGGGTTGCTGGGTGTACTGCTTGTTCTCTTTTGGTCGCCTCATCGGTTAGGACGACCCGCGGGACGACCGCGCCGAGCCGGAGAAGCCGGCGGAGACACCGAAGACACCGATGCCCGCGATGGAGGTGGAGACGAGGGCGTGCGAAATCGGTGGATTCACAGGGAAAACGACAGATGTTTGGAAGGGACAGAGTTGAGAAAGGTGGTGTTTCAGGGTCCAAAGTGTCCACACCTTAGCTAAAACATGCTGAAATCCCTATATAGCCTATAGGGTTCCTGGCCCACCATAGCTCATTCCTAATTTATATAATCTAATTTACTTAATAGGCTGAATCCGGAAGACACATGTGTTTTACTAAGGATATTTTTACTCTGCAAAACCAGGTCAACCAGGGTTTTACTCAGGACCAAGGATTCCAAGGATCAAACACAAAGTGTCTTTGTTGGATCGTTGTGTTTGGGAGAAAAGAGTCCAAATGGATAAAGCACGGGGTGAGTGGATCTATTGGGACTCTGACGACTAGTCAGGACTTCTCAGGACTCCAAATGATCCAATTCCTCACCCACTCGAAGGACTGAGGTCCTCTATTCCCTGACGAACTGGTTTGGGTGGGTGCTGCTGGGAGGTCGGCCAATCTTGAGCGACGATCTCAACGCACTGAACCAGGATGTAAAAAGGACACCAAGCGAAAGCCTCACCGAAAAAGAGAAGGGAGAGGAGTCACAGCCCTGCAGTCCCTTTCCAACCACAACATACAAGCACATCCACGTGCAGTTCCCGCACGTCTTTTATTTCGGTGCCATGAAGACAGGCAGGGTCCTGCCGAAATCGGAGTCCTCCCAAGCCGCCCACTTCGACGCCCCCGGGACGTCTCGGACCGCCGTCCCAGTCGGGTCGGACCGGGGTCGACCTGTGAGCGTAGAGCGTTGAGCGCAGGTGGAGCCGGAGCGGGAGTCCCGTGCAGTGCCTGTCCTGGGTGGAGGTGGCTTGAGAGGCAGATAGGCAGAAAGACTTGGTGCTGGTAGCGATGATGTGATCGCTGGACATGTTTGGGGTACGCGTACACGAAGTCGGGGACACCAGCAATTTTGCCAAGGATGTTTGGAACAGCTGCGTCTGCTGTGACAAGGATGATTAGAGACTCCCTTTATGTGGGGATGGGTCAAAACGTGGAGCCATGGTGTTAATGACCGGTCAGGCTTGGCCGTCTTCCAGAGGTTCCCTTCAGAACCCAGATTTGCTTGTATATCAATGGCATACATTCAGGAAAAAAGCACATGGGCGCAATTTCAAAAGTATGTGAAGAACACGTTGAAAAAGTAAAACATGTAAACGACCAGTAAAACCATGACCATGCATGTAATTACAGCACATGCATTTTTTTACATTCAAACAATGGAGACTCCCCCTGGATCCTCGCTTCTTCACATGAGAGTGACACCAGGTTCTCAGAATTCCTCGCGATTCCTCGTCCAAAGTGCTGACCTTGCTTCGATCACCCATCCGACCAGAACAAGGCCGGCCCCCATCCCAGAGGTTCACCCTACAAACCATGGAAGGTTGATCTCATCCCAGAGGAAGCTCTTCATAGCTTTCCGGGGTCAAGCAGGGTTTTGTATGGTTTGGGCATGTTTGGGCCCAGTTTTGGCCAGATGTGAAGTATGTCAACCAAGAAGAATCCCGGAAGCCAACCACAAACCAACCTATGAAACATCCATGGCTTCTACCACTGTCGGCCGTCGATGAATCTCGACAGAGACAAGGTGAGTCCTTGCTCCTGGAAAGCAAAGCAGAAGAGGGAGAGGAGGCAGGAGTGGATCGGTGATTTGGTGTGGAAGAAGGGTGGATCCATCCTACCGACTTCCAAACATATGATTCCAGGGGCAGACATCGGGCGAAACTAAGACGGTAGAGTCGAGGAGCAGACATTCTGTTACGTTCAATGGACCAGTGAGTTCTTTTTCCATGAACGCCGAGATCCCAAACCTGTGGCCGTGCGGGCTGTGCATAGCAGGAGGTCTTCTTTCCACCCAGAAGACTCTCGGGTTCCGACCAGACTTCTCCTTGGAACCTTAAGGCCTACATGCTTTCCTCTACAAACAGGTGGTTGTTCAACTTTCACGTTGGTGAGTGAGGCCGTACTCCTACCGGTCATGGAGGAATGGGGTTAACGAATCGAATCACAAACAAGCTACCTCTAAGACTCTATAGAACAGTCGTGGCAGTGAGAAAGCATGAAAAAAGCACGTCCTATCTCAGGGCCAGGCCATTTGCTTCTTGAATGGCCAGGCCTGGATGATCCTGTATGGCTGTATGGGCGGTCTTCACACTTCTTGAGCCGAATTCTTCGACTAAACTCCCCAGCCACATCATCTATATAATATAATATATCCCAGACAAAAAACAGAACAACCAACCAACCAACCAACCAACCAACCAACCAACCAACCAACCAA